AGATAATGATTAGTTAGTTAGTATTGTTATATGTTAATAATTAGAGATTCGATATTCAGATTCGGTGAACAGCCCACCGACTTCAATGAAGTGTGCGGTTATCAGGCTGCTTGGTAGAGTTCGATTTTCTCTCTTTTATCGTGTAAATAAACAAAGGCGTATGGTCAAACTTAAAAACTATTTATTTAAAAAATAATTTTTTTTATAAATTTAGAATGTTATTAAAAATAAAAATTAATATTTTTAAATTTTCATCTGACAACATTTTAAACTTATAAAAAAAATTTAAATTAATCCTTTTTAAAATTTACTCAATACTCTCACAATAATTAACTCAAGAATTGATCATATACCAGCCAAAACTAAACGGACCCCATGAAGATAAAATAATAATAATATTAAGAAGTAACAACGACCACATCTTTCATATAAAAATTTTAAAAATAATTAAAGTTGAAAAAAAGGCAAAGAAAGAAGTAGAAGAAGAAAAACAAGGACCACATGTCACTTATTGCGTGCTAAATTTGTATGCTTTCTTTTTATAGTACAGAAAACTTGGACCTAGTCAAGGCACGTTTGATGGGATATTTGTCAATTTGATTCTTTTATAGCAGTAATAAGTCAATGTCTAAAAGGCGTCTGTACGGACAGACAGTGACGTTCATGATTCTGTTGTCAGTTTTACTATTTCATTCCTTGCTGTCAATCCTTAAGACATATAATTTTATTTGATTAAAAAATATATTTAAAAATAGTTAAAATTGAATTACATTAGTATAATTTATACATAATTTTATCTTAGTTATAATTCTTTATATAATATACATTGCACCAAACCCACACTTAATTAACTTGATATCTTTTTCCTCAAAAAAAACTTGATATATTTTTTTCATGTGCATCATATATATATATATTCCTAATTTGAAGTTGATTTGATATTTATAACTATATTTTATATAAGACTAATTAGTATTTATTTGCTACTCTCTTAAAAAATTAAGCAACAAAAACTGTAAATCTACAATGTTTTGATAAAGTACTATGAAAAAAACATCAGTCTGCATTTTTTCATAAAAATATGTTATTTTAATTTTTTAATTAGATGATCCTATCATCTAATTTATTTTAATTTTAGAATTTATTATACATGTAAAATCTAGATACAACTAACGTGCCCCCTCTCCATCATATATACTTGTGTGGCTTCAATTTATTTTACAGTAAAAAATTTGCTTCTAGAAAACTTTAATGTCATCACCTTCTTGATCCTAAGTCGGTGATGAATATTTTAACAGAGACACCATTACATAGCCCAACAATTCAACAAATCAAATAAGGGAAATAAATTTCTTCCTTGTGAGTAAACATCGGTAAGAATCTTCCCCCTCCTACCTGGAGTGTCATATAATGTCCACCTCACTTTAAAAAATTGATGCATTTCCTTTCTGTCTCTCGTACACCAATAGTGTCGAGAACAACATCAAACTTCCCCTTAATTGTTAATTCAATGTCCTGGAAATGGACAATTAGCTCATTGATTAAAGGATCATTCTTGAATCTTTACAAACACCTATAAATTCAAATTTAGTTTCAAACAGCTAGAACCAAAGATTGAAGCAAACTACTTACTTAATAATTGAATGCATCATCACCTCATCAGTGTAGTCAATAGCTTGCTCAGCACCCACTGCCAATATTCCTTTTAGACTCTGAGGACCACACGAAGTTGTAACATGCAACCCTGTAGCTACTTAAAGCTGAATTGCAGCAAAATCTACTGCCCCTCCACCACCTATCACCAACAATCTCTGCCTGTCAAATAGGATTATGAAAAAGTAAGCAGAAGGAATGAAAAACAAAATTCCAAAAATACATGGTAAACCACCCGTCAAGATATCATACTTTCATTCTATAATCTATATCCTCAACCACAGAGGTCTTTGAAGATGAGGACAGAAGCAAGATTAGGGGTGGGCATCGGTCAGTTCGGTGACCAAATTGACTAATATGGATGGTTGACCAAGTTTTTGGTTGAGAAAAAATGAAAACCAATTACCAAATTGAATTAGTGTCTGTTGTGTCGGTTTGGTATCATTTTTTTTCGATGTTGTTATTTTCGGTTTCGATGGGCACCAAAATTAAAGTAAAAGGGCAAAAAATTCATAAAACTTAACCAAATTACAATGTAAATATCAACCACTCAACTTTTAATATCATTCTCAAATAATTTTTCAAATCTCATAAAAAACTATAAAACATCATTAATAAATTCATAATAAGCTTGAATGAATAGCATAAAGAGAAAAAAAAAAAAAACATAGTAATAATAGAA